TTTTTTTTTTTTTTTTTTTTTTTTTTTTCTTAATACGTACATCTTGATGACTTAACGTCTATGGCTGCTTATTGGTACCACACTGACACATTTTGATACACCCCATGCATATACGCGTACCAAAACGCGAGAGCGACAAGGTGAGAGAATGAGTGGTTGAGCGATAGCGAGAGAGAGAGAGAGAGAGAGAGAGAGAGAGAGAGAAGAGCGTGCAATTTTAATGGTACCACGTGGAGCGGCAGGGGGGGTGATAGGGGAAAATAAATACGGAGAAACGTGTTACTGTATTGTTAAACATTGTCCACGCATAATTGTTACTAAGTATTATAAGTAATATTACGGGAGAGGGGATGAACAAAAAGAAAAACAACATTTGAGGTAAATAGTACATTAACGGGTGCGGCTGGTCGTTAGGAGTATATGTAAATATATGTATTTATATATGTATACGCGCATATAAACATACATATACCTATGTATGTATATATAGAGATATTCGCATGAGAGTGAGTGAGACAGTTGTACAAGTGAATGTGCGTGCGTGCGTGAGGGAGTGCGAGAGAGTTATAATTGTCACGAGAGAGAGAGAGAGAGAGAGAGAGAGAGAGAGAGAGAGAGAGAGGTATTAATTTTGAAAAATAATACAATATTGTACGATTCACACGGGTAGACCAGTTACGCGCATGACTTAAGAAGAGATGAAAATTAATAAATGATAAAGAAAAGAAAGAAAAAAAGAAACACGAAGTATTAATTTTGAAAAATAATACAATATTGTACGATTCACACGGGTAGACCAGTTACGCGCATGACTTAAGAAGAGATGAAAATTAATAAATGATAAAGAAAAGAAAGAAAAAAAGAAACACGACAGACCCACAAAATATTTAGAAAAAAAAAAACAAAAAAAAAAGATGGCTACAGAGTGAGTGGAGCGAAAAGGAAGAGAAGGAGACTACTCGACAAGGAAATACAAAGTTTTGAAAAAAAATAAATTAATGGCAGGTACATATACGTAGGTAACAAAAAACACGTAGCAACGAAAAAAAAAAAACGTGGAACACAGTGTGGAATATTTGAAAAATGAAACAGAAAAAAAATTTTCGTTTTTCCGGTAGACGATGACGAGGACGAGGAAGGCGCACTAGGTGGGCGAAGTTGCAATGTGTACTGTAGTGGACGGGCTGCCCCGTTCGGTATTAAAAAAAGGGAAGAATAAAGAGAAGTAAAATCTGTACGTGGCTGGGGAATTGGGGGGGAGGGGGGAGAGGAAAAGGTGGACAAAAAAAATTACGAAAAATAGAGAGAGAGAGAGAGAAAGATTTTTGATTTAAACAACCATCGGGTACGATCGATCGCTGCGTGTGTATTGGTAGAAACGGCAATATTTTCTTGGAACACAATTTTAGCAGAGAAGAGACAGGGAGGAAAAGGACGAAATAAGATAAAGACTCATGTATTATTTATCCTTGTTGCGCCTCCTAAACTCTACTCGTCTTATGACTTGATTTTGCCCGTGACGTTTCTTCGAGACGATCGGCCGATTGTTATGTAACGCTATACCGATTTTAATTTTTTTCTTCTTCTTCTCCTGCCCCGTTCCTATTTCCGTCACTTCTAATCTTTCTTCGCTTCTTCATTCCAATGCGGAGCACTGTACTTTCTCACGTGCGATACCGGGTCCTGTACATTCCTTGATCCTTATTGCTCGACGGAGTAGTCACTCGATTATTCGCCTTTTAGAAGAAAATGATAAGCAATGTTCTTGGACCATATTCGGAGAGATGAAGAAAAACGTGTGTGTGTGAGAGAGAGAGAGAGAGAGAGAGAGGGAGAGGGAGAGCGAACGAGAGAGCGAGAGAGAGCAATGATAAAACATATTCTGCATCGACGCACGTCGAATGACGCTCTCGAGGGAGAGGGAGAGCGAACGAGAGAGCGTCGCCTTTTAGAAGA